TGACAAGGTGTGTAAGTGTCATCACTTCATTTTCCAGATAGGAAAATGACATCACAGAACTCTGCAGCTATGCTGAGTGCCAGAGCAGGAAGAAGACCCTTCACCTCCCACTTTCTAGGGCTGGAAACCACCCTTTGAATCACACTGCCTTCCTAACACTGTGCAGCCAGCAGCAGCATGAAGCCCTTCTCCAGAGGAGCAGGTCTGCATGCTGGCATGGGGAATGCTGTGAAGACCTCTTAAATAAAGCACCCCATACACTGCTTTCACTACAAAAGGACCACAGGCATCACTTAAGGCAACATTTTGCTCAAGCATAGAACACCAAGACTTGTAACACTCAGATCTTGTGAACCTGCTCCCGAGTGACAACTTGTGAAGTTTCAATCTCTAGGTGGGAGCTTGAGTCTTTGTTTATTTCAGTAAAAGATAAAAGACATACTTCATACTATTCCAGCAATGAAGAAGTGTTTCTTCAGCATGTCCCTACTCCCCCTGCCTGCTTCACAACCCACTCCAAACTCCAAAGAGCACTCGAGGCTTTCGTACGGGCTCCCAGCCCACATGCAGGTAGGAAGAGCTGAAGAACCTACCCCACAGCAGATCTCTTCCAAAAAAATCACTATATTCCCACACAAGGAGGAGGAGGCAAAGTCCCAGAGCAAGCTCTCCAAGCTTGCCTCCACACATTCCTTGCAGCGCCACCACTACAATTCCCATCTTAACTGTCCCAATGGCTACCCCGGAAGGATTCCTCCACCAACTCTCTTCCTTCAGTGTTAACTCTGCAAATACTATATGGTTTATTCCCCCTAAGTGCTACACACCTGAAATAGCTCAAAGGCTACTGAGGATGCTTCCAATGACTAACGGTAGCTCTATGGACATCTCAAGTACTACAGTCCAACACAGTAGCCCTCTTGGCCAGATTCTAGGGTGCTCTTAGCAAGCCCTCGCTTTCCTCCTGGTATATTCCCTGTATTTCTTTGCACTTAGGCCTGGCTCACCTTCACCTCCTCTTTCACTTTTTCATACTTCAAACTTGGTCATTGCCTCATCCCTTTCATTCAGGGTAGGATTCTTTTCACCAGTCCCTCACAAAATGATACCTGTAGTATTTTAAAATCCATTCCAGTCTACCAGCACCTTCCTGAAAATTTAAGCGCTCAGAACCTCAATACAGACATGGTATTTTGGCTGCAAATACAATGGCCCCCCGCAGAACTGCACATACACCTTTTAACACCTCAAAACCACCTTCTGTCCTCACAGATCCCACTGTACTGCAAGTCAAGCAGCTTCATAACCTACCAATGCCACAGGTAAATACACAGCTACTAGATCAGCCTCCAATCCATTCTGATTATGGTCTCAATGGTCCCAGACCAAAAAGAGATCAGGATTTATGGCTATACACATCTCAGCAGCTTTGCTCCAAAACAGACAGCTCATAAGCTCCACCTTCTCAGTTACTTCCAGGCAGGAAACACACATGCATGCAGACAACATCCTGAATATCAGAATTTACTCACTAAAAATGAGCCCAAGCTACATTTAGTGAGGCTTCACATTACAACACAACCTCCTGCTTTAGCTCCATATTCCTCTCCTGTGAGAAAGAACAACCCGTTAAACAAACCACACAGGTTTTGCACATATCTGCAAAAGCCCCTTCAGAAGGTGCTTTCTAGGTGCTTTGCTACATGATTTTTGTAACAAAGCCACTTCATTTCAACAGTTAGAAAAAGATATTCTGCAAAGGAGAGAGCTGCACCTCCCCAACCCTTACCTGCTCAGTGTGTTTTCACCTCCTTGTCTGCTACCTAACAGACTCACAGTTGTATTTCTTCTGTTCCAATGACAAATTAGTGATAAGGAGCTGTGAAATTATCGACCTATTAGGAGAATGAGTCACTGCCACATGAAAAACAAAACCCACTTACAAGGCATGATCAGCTGAAGAGCAAGCAAGACCTGACACTGAGACAACCCATTCATTGCCAAGTTGCAGAATAAATGAGGAATCTAGTAAAGAGGCACAGAGGTCTAGCCCTTGGAATAAATCTTCTTCTCCCCTCCCTGAAGTTACCATGATGTATTCAGTAAGTTTCTCCTGTTCATACTGCTTCTACTCCTACAGGAAAACACCCAATTACAAATGGAAATACCACTATAGGAAAATCTCTTTGTATAAACTAACATCATAAAAGAAAAACTAAAATGGCTTGCTATTATTTTCAACACAGCAGCACTTAAAAGTTGTCCAGGGTTACCCTTAAATGCTTTCAATTGCTCAGGTAAGCACAATGAAGGCCTTGAGCAACCAACACTTCTGAATCTTAAATACACAGATAATTCTGTAATGGATAATCTAACAGGCTCTGGAGGCACTACCAGACATCCCAAAACCATGGTCCTGTTTTTTCCCAGTTACACCTCAGATGGGATACCCTGCAGGAGGAGGAGGATGCAGGAGCATCAGTGCCACACACACGTGGGCTGAGGCTTGCCTGTCTTTATATCATCCCTCAGATACTGAGGCAGGCTGTGTCAGGCCTAAGCCAAATGCGGACTCTAATGCCACCCCTGCTTTCAGAAGGAGGTTGTTCAAGTAAATCGGCCTTTGAAGTTTGGTTTTACACAAAGCTTTAATAAAAGACTTCATTGAAATGTGGCCATAAACTTAAAGCATTTTAATCAAAATTCTTTAGGAACGTTACTCATATTTATTAAAACCAAAAGACTTTCAAACCCTGCATCTCCTTTCCAGCATTCATATGGACTATTTACTTACTTCTCCAGCTTCAGCCAGTTGGCTGAGCTTCACTTTCAAGCTCTCATGCATTCACAGAAAAAGAAGAAAAAGCCCACAGTTCATCCAAAAATGCACTGTAAGAGCAAATTAAAATTCTCAGAATTTAGAAGGAACAAGTCACCAAGACATTATATAATGACAACTTGGGAAATCTATATAAAACTCATGGTTTATTACTTCCTTTTTTTTTTAAAGGAAAGGTATCTGTTCAAGTCATGTAGAAATACATTTGCTTATCAGTGAAGACTGCTAAAAGTGTCCTAAAATGTGTGACTTCTTTAATGAAAACCAAGCAAAACCTGCAATCTCAAACAGAATTTGTGATTTGTCTGAGTAGGATTTTTAAGCTGAACTTTTTATCTGTAAAAAGAGTAGATCCTTTCAGAGAGGTTATAAAGGAGAGGTCTTGTTTACCATAGCCCAAAAATAGACTTTGCTGCCTAGGAAGAACCTCTTAGGCCACGGTCCTGAATGAAGCAACACTGCCCATGATGAACCCACAATGACCCCAGATGTGCCCTGGATAAAACCCAGCCCCGTTTACAATACCTCATTTGGAGTGAAAAATGCAGGGAGCTATTTCAACTTTTCTGAGAGAGAAATTAACATAAACCCATTGTTTTCCATCCTCTTTTTAAATTCTACTTTCAGAATATGGCCTCAGCCTCCCTCTCTCTTCCAGGTGACTTTACTTCCCAATCCCTGGCCCACAGCACTAGCTTTTAGGACAGTGGAGTTTAAATCCCACAGTGCAGGTGGAAAAGTCAGGTCCAAAAGTAACAACCCTGTCAGTTTATATCTTGAGTAATCTACTCCTCAGGAGCCCATTCTCCAAATCTGGACTCTCCATGGAAGAGATCAGCTACTTTTCCACCATGAAAGGGCCCATTCCAGTGGAAGCTTCATGTGCATCTGCAAAGACAAGGCTTAACACAAACCAGCCTTCCACTGTACACCTTGATTCAGTCCTGGAAGGGGTAGGATGCCTTCCCCTAAGCAGGCTACAGCTGATAATGCAGACACTGTGCTTATACTTAGTTCCTAGAAAGAAACATAATTACCGAAGTCCTAAACATTTATGTTTATTATATGTTATCACCCCAAACACCAGTACATCAACACACAAATACTTGAGGAGTTGATACTTAAAAGAGTATCTCATCATCTGCGGGTTCAGAAGACAGAAACAAAACAACTTTCCTAGCAAAACCCACAACTCCCAGCTCATTCAACCCCCTTTTGCCAGCTTTGAATCTAGGGATCAGGGCAGTTTTGTAACCACCTGTTTAATGAAAAAAACCCTCCTAGTTCACAACCAGCCCTACTAAACAAACCACCGTCCCCGGGGGAAGATACACATGTGTCCCAGGACCTGCAATAGGGGTTCCCCCCCCCCCTGCAGCACATCTGCACCCCCGCGGAGATGAAAAACTCCCTTCTCAAACCAAACCCCATCTTTTCAGCCCTACCTACGGCGCTCGCTCAGCACCAGCGCACACAAACTCCATCCCCGCTCCCCGAACAGCTGCCCCCCCGCTCCGCCCCACACCGCATTTCAGCTTTCGGCCTCAGCAACCCTTTTGTAGGCTCCGGCACAATAACAAACCGACCGAGCCTTCTGGATGCTACCCCCCCCCCTTGTTTTGCTGAGACACACACACACGGCGCGACAAAAATATCTTTGTGTCACACTCCAGACGATGAAGAAAAACAACCTGTCCCTGCAGCGGGGACCCCCGCAACCCCGGCCCTCCTTCCCCCCCCCCCCAACATGGGCTGCACCCCACAGCGGTGGCCCCGGCCCTGCCGCACACCCGCCCCGGCTGCAGGAGCCCGGACAACGGGCCCACCATCCTCCCTGGGCCTCACCGCGGCCCTCACCGGGGATGCGGCCGGGGCAGGCCCCGCGGCTGCCCCCGGCGCCGCCATCCCCGCGGGGGGGTCGCACAACAAACATAGGCGGCTGCGACAGCCCCAGGATGGAGGGGGGGCATCCCCACAGCCAGACCCCCGGCCGGGGGAGCCCACTTGGGCCGTACCACCGCTTCCCCCCCTCCCCGCCACCGGGCCGCGCCGGGAGGCCGCGGAGTGCCGCAGCCGCTGGCTCCGGCTCCATTTTAGGGCTGCCTCGTCCCACCTTCCCTTTCCCTCCCCTCAGTCCTCCTCCCCCCCCGGCCCCACTCACCGCCCCAAATATCCGCGGCCGCCGCCGCCGCCGGCCCCCGATACCCACCTGTGGTGGTGGTGGGGAGCCGGGAGTGCCTGGGGAGCCGGGTGCGGAGGGCCGATGGGCGAGGGGCGCGGCGGATGGCGGCGGATTGCGCGGCGGCGGCAGCGGGCTGCGGGGCGATACGGGCTCTGTGCTGCCGCTCCCTCCTCCTCCTCCCACTCCTCCTCCCCCGGCCCGGCCTGTCAATCCCGGGCGGGAGGGCGCCGCCGCCCTGCGCACAGCGCCGTCTGCAGGGCCCCGCCGGCACCGCAGGGGACGGCCCAAGATGGAGGCGGGGTGCTGTGGGGAGAGGGCAGGGGAAAGGGGCAGAGCCGCGGCTGCCTCCGGCTTTCATCCCTCTCCTCTCCCCAGAGTCAGGCGCTCGGTCGGTCCTAATGGAGATACCACCTCAGAGCCAGCAGGGAGGATGGAGCCGGGCGTTACAGGGTGCGCGGCCCCTCGGGAAGGCAGCAGGAGAGGGGACACCCCGATTCCTGTCAGGCCCTGAGGCACCATGCTGCCGAAGGAGACCCCGCTGTGGGATTCATCCCCGACAGCCACGCCGGCTCGAACCACGCACCCCGAGCAGGGCAACCGAGGGGGCACAGGGGCGGTTTTTATCCCTCCTGGCTGTGGTGACCCTGGGGAGGGATGAGGGGTGATGCCTGGCATAGGGAGCAGCAGGGGTAGTGGAGGCCGCTCTGTGCTCCTCCCTGGCTCCATGGGCAGTGGGTTCAAAGGCAACCCGGAGGAACTGCCCCTTGGAAGACCTCAGAAATACCTTTTAATCTGTTCTCTCGTTCATGATGATGGAAACGAATGCTGTAGAGTAAGGCAGTCACTCCTGTCCCCCCCAAAAAGGGTCTACCAAGCTGTAAAACACGGTCCCTGCTCAGGCCAAAAGAGCTTCAGGTGAGCATGGTGAGAGCAGCGCTCCTGGTGAGCGATGGGCACTGAAGATGATGTAGAAGTCGCTGTGAAGTGCGATTCCTCTGCCCAGGGGATATTTTGTAGCTTGGGAGATGTGATTTCCCTTTAATTCTCCTTTCCTGTCCTGTCACAAACTCACATGGGTGTCTATCAGTATATCATGTTGCGATGAAAGGCCAGACTGCAGGTGCGCCTGCATTTATGTCTTAGGGACTGTCCAGCTGTATGCAGAAATGGCACACACACACACACACATATATGCATGCAAATGTATGTATGTGTGTCATATATATGTGAGACAAGCACCTGGGCCATTGCTGGCCTCTTGCAAACACGCCCATTAGCTCATTCAGGGGTCAGCATCATGTGCGGTCACCCTGCATGTCCTTGCCCATGAAGAGAAGGTGGCTTTAGAGGGATTTTACAGCGCATTTCACTCGTGCAGGCAATGCCTCCTGCCTCCCCCCACATTACAGGAACAGTGGAGGGCCTGGCACCTGATCACTGCTCATGAGATGTGTCTGATCTCAGACAGACATCAAGGATAATGCAGGGGAAGAAATGCATGAACAGCTTTCTGAACCATATGTGATGTTCCTACAGTTGATCTGCACCACTATCGAAGTTGCCAGGCACTGAGCTACCAAGAGACACACCAGCACTGCTGAAAACCATCAGTTGGTTGTCAGACCCCTTCCTTTTCTGGATGTCAAAGTGTTACAGTGTGCTCCTGCCCCTTTGGTGTCTTGTCTCATCTTTCCTGAAGCCTGGTTTTCCTGTCTAGAGACAGGAGGCCAATGCCCTTCACATCTCTCCTTATAGCTTCTCGCATGGAGGAACCCACCTTCCTTCCTGACAGTAACAAGCTCCCGCTCACCAGGCGGCCGGGACATTAGTCTGGTGTGTTTAGTTTTGCTTTCTCCATCAGTCAGACAAGTACACACATGCACACACACACAAATGGCTCTTCTAAGTCGCTTCCTGCCCATACAAACCCCACTGTCCTCCATGAGAGAAGCTACGCATGAGAAATCAGCCACATTTTCAGAGTGCCTCTGATTTGGGCTGCTGCCTTCCACATTCAGCCACCCTGCTTTGCAGCACCATGCTGTTTCGCACCCCACATCAGCTGAGGAGGGAGAGGAGAGTGAACCATCTTGTACTGTGTGCACAATAACATCAAGCACACAGAAGGCATTAATGCTGCCCTTGGGGAGATGGGGCAGTGTGGGATCCCCTCTCCTCCAGTGACTCATGCAGCCACCTACAACCACTGCACCATGAGGTGACTCAGAGGCCTGCCCAGGTCAGCGTTATTCACACCTGCTGCTGAAATAAGCACTTCTCCAAAGGGCTCTTGTGCATCTCCAAGGCAACAACCCAAGGCCAAGGGAATAGATGCAGCAATTAAAGCGAAAACTAATGCAACCTACTGTGGAGCTCAAAGGCAAAAGTAAACAAATGAAAGACCATTCCATGTTCATTACCAAGTGTGGACACTGCAGCCCTGACAAACACATGGCTTTTCCACCTGCACCCAGCAGTGTGCCAAGGCCAACTCCATGGATCTTTGCAAGTCTTATGGCTCAGGACTGCATCAAGGCTTCTCTTCCCTTCATTGCTCACAGCTGGGCATGATCTGCATAGTGAAAGGACATCATCTGTCCCTACCACCAAAGAGCAAAGCATGACTCAACTACATCCTGGTCCATGGGGATACCATCAGACCTTGGCATAAGGTGACAAGTTCCTGTGCTGCTCTTCAAAGGACCTGCTCCATCTTTCACCTGCCTGTGTATAAACCAAAACAACTGATGTAAGCAGAGAACTGGTGGGATTAGACCCACAATAAACCATGAGTGCAGAGTGTTGACAGTGAGAAGAGATTTGGGCAGAGCCTGATGAGCAGGTTTTGCTTAGATGAAGTTCAATGCACAGCTCTATGCAGGATCTATTCTGGAAGGACTGCTCCCCCACACTGATTTTTGATCTGTTCCAAAGAACTTAGCAAATTATCCCCTGGACAGAGAGAGACAAACACTCTTGAAGCAAGAAAAGGCCTTCTCCCTCTTCCAGGTTTAATTACAAGTGAGAGCAGAAACCCTGCTGTGTGCTTCATCCTTCTGCTAATGAATCCTGTCAATTAGAAAATAACCATTACAGAAGACTTACAGTCCTAGTATAGAATTTGGGTCTACAGAAGTGTCTTGTGGTCTAAGGCTTCCTAGAAACAATTCCTATATATTCTACAGCTTCTACAAAAATTTTCTCTGAATCTATAAATCCCTGACCATGGCTTGCATCATGCAGGGGGATTTGGTAATTTCTAGCAGAGCTAACTGAAGGCTGAATGCATCTCTTTTTGGTATCACTTTGTTCACCTTTAAATAGCAGTGTGAAGCATAAGACAGGGCCTTACTGCCCTTGGATTCACAAAACTCCACAATCCCTGTGGAAAAAGCAAAGTGATCCTGCTCTGGTCCTCATCCAGAGGCTATTCAGCACAAACTAAGTATGCATTTACTCTTACCAGGTCAGGTCACAGTCCTGCTTTCCTATCCATCTCAGACAGCAGCCAATATCAGCTGCTGCAGAGGAAATGGGCAATGGAAGGTTGTGGAGTAACCTGTCCATGGGAGGATACGCTTTCTAATCCCATGAGGTAGGAGCTGGTGTATGCCCTGCAGCATGAAAATGCATTTCAAATTCAGTTGTGTCAAGCAAGAATGCCTCATGACTGCACTGACTTCATTAGCTCATCCAAAACAGCTACAGGGAAATTCAAGCCTGCAACTAAGTGAACAGGGCCTTAGGACCCAAAACTCATCAAGAACATCAATAGAGTTGAGCTGTCATATATGAGAGGTGGGAGAGAAGACATGGGGAGCAATGGCAGTTCTCTGTAATCCCATATATGATGCTGTGTTATCCAAATATAAGGAAATGCTTTGAAAAGACAGACCTCAAACAGAACAAAGGGACACTAGGTCTCAAATATAAAAGATTGATTTCCCTCCCCTTCTTATTTAAGGCCCAATATCAATAGAGATGCTTTCATAAACTTGTTTATAAGAAGAACAAAGAAGCACTCTGGTGGGAGAGGAAGCTGCAGCCTCTCACCTCTCTAAGCTGAAATAGAGTATGAAATACTGGGAATGAAAAAAGAATATAAAACCCCAGGAATCTTGGCCTTTGCTCCAAGCTATGTTAAAAGTGATTGGGGAAAGCAAAGTCTGCAACACTACACTCAAACTCACACTAACTTGTGTCATAGTCCCCTCTGTGCATCTGCTTTAAGTATCTGGTGTCTCGCAATGCAGTTATGATAGCTCTGCTTTCAGAGCTGGTTTGTAGAGTCTCTTAGAGTTTTTCTCCCACCCAGCATTTGTTGAATAGCTGACCAGTTCACAGGGTATCAAATCCATCTCTGGCCTTGGGATTGCTGAGCCATCATATGTACCAAGTTTTACTTTACAGGTGGGTATGAAAAGACATGCTTGAGTTAAGATGATCCTACTCTCAGTTTCCACAAAATCTCACCATTGAGGCAGGACGAAGCCAACAACTTCAGTTCCTTCCTACTGCAGAGGACACCAGGTGCCCTCAGCTGTGACCTTACTTTCTATTTTTATCCCTTCCTCCCAATTTCCCAGATGAGAGCAGATTCAAGGAGTTAGTATCATGGTGATTGCTCCTTGTAGCTGCTAGATCAGGTGGAGGCTGTTTCTTTTCTTTATTCCTTTGCAGCCCGTGGGAGTTGTAGGCTCCATATAGAGACGCAATGCCATTGAAACATCTCTGTTTGCCAGACTATTGTTTGTCCTTTTAAAGTCTGCAGACCCAAACCATTCTTCATGAGCAAATGCTGGCTGCCTGAAGGACAAACCAAAATGACTATTTAAGGCACTAAAAAAGGAAATCATTTAAAACAGAGCTGATTAAAAGGAAGAAACTATTCTTCCAATGAGAAGTGAATTGCTTTCAGCTGGCTTTAGCTCTGAGCTTTACTTGCAATGAGAACCAAATACCAGTTGCCTGATCATGCAAGTATTTTGGAGACACTTCATTAGCCATGACTTCAGTTTTTCCTTGTGTGTGACTGCAAACCAAGGCTTCTGCTTCTGCTCATCTTGGCTTGGTGATTTTTCCTTTGGCTGTGCTGTTCAGAAGCTAGAGAGGCAGCTTTTAAAGCCCAGACTCTTTCTTACTGTGTCCACTTGGAAGCCCTTATACAGCCTTGGTTGCCTGAATAGCAAGAGGTTCAAGAAAATCTCAAGCAGCACCATCCATCTGTCTGAAATATGACAGTCTGTGTCC